CCATGTATTTACAGGGACCTGAAACCGAAACATATTGTGTTGTCAAGTAAAAATCCGATAAAATAAACACAATCACCGGCGCATTGACGTATGTGCGCGACTTTGGGGCAGCATGGATACAAGCAATGAATGAATAACATAGAGCACTGTTGAAAAAAGTCAGTCAATGCCAGCCACAGACATCAATTCCTATAGACTGATGGTCGATATTGCCCGCTCTGGGTATACGAGTATATCATAATGTGATTGACTTGGATCACAAAGTCAGAGTCCCTCCAATCTCTATGACTACTAACCCGATTTTTATAATTTAAACGGAGAAACTGTCCAACTAAGCCTAGTTTTGTTGACCCCGAGGTAACTCAAGACGCTACCATTCTTGGCACATCTATTTGTGTATCTTTTCTGCACATGTTCTGAAAATTTAAGATCCAGGTCGTTTAAGGTCAGGTCACAGGTATGTCAAGTGACCTTACCTGAGAACATGCTATAATGTTCGCCATATAGCTACATCGATTGAACGATAGCTTTGAATCTTTCAGCGATTCATGAGAGTGACCGCATGCATAAAATATCTATCTGAGAATTTTGACATCGGTGACCTAAGGTCATGAAAGGTCTCCGGCAGTTTCTTTCCAATTTTGATAGAGATGCTAGAGCGATAAAAACACCCCGGCTATGTTCAGGTCGACGATACAGGTCGACTGATGTGCAGCATGACTTTTTCCGGTCAGGTCACGACCTTGACCTAAGTTCAAAGTTTCAGAATGACCTTTTAAGGTCAAATTATAGTTCACTCGACGCGTCTCGACGACAGGAACACGATGCAATCTCGTGTCTTTCTTGAGTCAAGAGTTAGTACGCATTTTTTTTTTTCGTAAAAACGGCTATTTTAGTTTTTGCCCTCTGGATGATATAGCGTTGATCTTAGGTTCAATCTCAAGGCCCACCTCAGAAAGAGCTTTATAAGAGCTATCCAATGCCCTTTTCCACTACGCTGTAGCTCTATTGGTGATCGTGTTATGTACTAATTTGCCAAAAATGCTGAAACAGACAAATTTAACCTTGAATGACCTCTGGCTGTGGTGACCTGGCCTAAAAATTGACTGAAGTACTTTTTCATGATTTTGCCACTCTTAACCCACGAGTCTCTGGGAGGGGGGGGGGGTACGATGTCTCCTAAACCTGATAAGATGTGAACTTGAGACTTAGTTTCAAAGGAATACTCAAGCCATTTTTCAGGAAAGTTTGGTGGCCGTAACGCTTAAAATGACGTCACAGTGACGTCATAAGTTTTCATAGTTTTCCGATGTGTTCTTTTGTCGCTTTTCTGATGTAACTGAGCATGCAACGCAACGGTAAATGAAAGCACCTGTTGTCCTGACACATCTAAGTGCACTTTCAACTAGTTAGTTCCTGGCCAGTGATCGGGTCCTATACATTCGGTTCTATAGGTATATTAGATATATTCTGATGGAACTGTCTAAGACACGCCAATCTATCATTTGACTTCTGAGGCGTCACTTTAAAGCCATTTCAAATAGGATGGACACCGAATTTGGAAACAACTTTGGCTTGCTATTCAGTAATATGTGTCATCAAAGTTCGTTTCCCTTTCTGTTCACATTGCGAAAATATTGTCAGAAAAGTAAAAGGGGAGTAACTAAATTGGCGAGTAAGTAATTGGCGCCGAGCACCGGCCCGGCACGATTGATTTGAAGAACCAGATCATGGTAAACTAATAAGTAAAATCAAATATAAATTTGTGATCATATTTTATATTAAAAACACATACAATTAAAGCAGCATAACAATCTTATGTTTGCTGTGGTATCACGAATAACCCGCGCATGACTGGGGGCAGGCTCTACAGAGCCCCCCTCTACCGTTTTTCGGCAATATCTTCTTAACCGTTTGACGGATCAACACGAAACTTGCGATACCTTCAGCAGCAGCAACCTGACACCTTGTGTTAAAATTTCAACTTTCTAGCTACCATATTTTGGTCGCAAATAACGTCAGAGTGACGTCATGTCGGCCGATTTTGATGCAAAATATTGAATTACGGCAAACGCTCTCAAAAGCTCAGTTTTAAAACTAGATCCAATTTCTTTGCATGAGTGGGCTACAAATACACGTTGCTATCGAACTGCTTTATCACATTTTCGAAATTTGGAGGACTTTGAAAAATAATGCATTTACAAAAAAAAATGTAGTTTTTGATTTTTCATAAAGTTTTTGATTTTTCGCAAAACCCGGAATATATGTGATAGAACACACGCTGATTAACAACTCTAGTTTTAGCCCAATATCTTTAAAAATAGCCAAGTTATTTGCATTTGTGTCAAAATTTTACAAAAATGTATTTTTCAAAACCATTTTTCAGTACGTTTTTGAGATCGTAGAGCAACTTAAATGGTACCATCGTGCTCTTGAGCTCAAACTGCATCTGCTAGGCATCTTATTTGTTGAAAAATAATATTCTCAAAATTTGACCTTTTCTGACCTGAAAGTGACCTGACCTCCGGTAAATTCTGCCGAAAATGACCTCAAATGACACAGACGACATTGCTTTCGAAACCTACGAGTAAAATGGACCATAAAACATGTGTCACGTGACCGATACATGATACACAATTTTCGTGAACTGGGATGACCTGGCTTTGACCTGAAAAATTCGAAGTAAAAGTTTGGTACCCTCAGGGTATCTAAGATATACATCAAGGAGTGCTTAAAACAAAAATGAGCCTGATCGGACTTGTCAGCCGTCGGTCAGAGCCTAAATTGTGAACAAGCAAAAATGCTGATGATTTTTACTTTGGCCTGACCTGTGACGTCATCGGTGACATTGAGGTATATGAAAATAGGTTTCGCTCGACAGTTTTCCCGAGCTATCAGGCACCGTTTGAATTTTGATGATCGGCCCAGTAGTTTCGGAGATAGGAGGGGGACTCTGGAGAGCCCCCCCCCCTTAGTCACTAGCGTCATGAAAAATACCCCAGTCACGCGCGGGTTAATTATTATTTAAGGTTGAAGTAATTTTCAACATTAAAAATTGCAGACATTGTTTCCTTTTTAGGTATGAGGCGTTGCTGGAGTACTCAACATGCTAAACAATGACATTAGTCATTAGCCGAAAATAAACCTTACTGAAATTTCAAACAGCCCAAGATTTTAGAGGAGTGCAGGCAGCGCAGCCATGTGCAGTCATTACATATGAGATATTTCGCTTATCCAAATGATCTAGCACGTCGTCCGCCTTTCCTCTGAGCTCATGCAGTGAGCCCACATTCCGCACCTGCTGTTAAATGTTATGATGAAACGCTGAGGAGTCGGCTAACACTCCTCTGTGATATCTTTCAGTTTTACTGTATGCCTGGCCTATTCAAATACATTAGCCTGAGGGGTGTGGTAATAACTGGTGTAAGCCAATGTAAGCAAAGTGACCACGGTCAAAAACGAATTACCAAGTCAACATTTTGGGATGGCCTCGTTCAAAAAATGGCTAAGAGCTTCGGTCTAGACAATTATTTTATCGTTGGCATCCGATTTCCTAAATTCATTGTCTCGTCGAAATGGAAGATATTTGCCAGATGCTAGTTGGCAACGTCTGCATACTTTTGCGATGTTTTTAGGGAGGCTATTCGCAAATTTGCGCAGCGAGTTTTCGGAGAAATATTTATGTTCATCGTGAGATGTAGATCAGATTAGCATCACTAGTTTAGCAAGAAAGCACGTTTATTTGTTGCAGGTATTGCTTTCGTAAGCTTACACCGCTCTTCTTTTCTTTTGGGAGAAATACCTACTCTCCCTTCTGTGTTTTACAACATTGCCGATCCAAAGTCACTGATAGACACTGAAAAGAAATCCTCTACGTATAAAAAACGTTTAAAATGCATTGCCATTATTTTGTCACGATATTCAATGTTCATAGAAACAGTTTTCAAGATATTACAAGTCAGCATCGTTCGCTAGGTAGCTTCCTTGGTGACGGTATCTGCTATTCAACAAACACTCACACACATTCGCACGGAAGAGAAACACTCAGTCGGCATGCATGATTTCCTGGATCCGGATCGTTCACGCCCAGCCACCTGACCAGTTTCGGCGGCGCCTTTTTACCTGTTCAAAGCTAAATCCATGACTGTTCGTCACAAAGCGGGCAAACAAGCCGCTTCACTGCGCCTCTGCGCTAGTCACGCCCACGGAAAGTGAGCGCCGTTACGCCGTCACACCCAGCGTGACGTGACGTGATATGACGTCAGACAACGTCCTGTGATGTCACAACAGGTAGCTAGGAATAAAATAACGAGAAGAGATGTCAGAATAAAGAACGATAGGTCCCGTGCCATCGCGCATTGCTATTTACTTACTTTCATTTACGTATCTATTTATTTATTAATTTACCTTGCTGAACAAAATTGGTTTAAACTTGCTGAACAAAATTGGTGATCGAATCCTATGACATGTGGAGGCCCACACTAAAGGCAAAACCATCGTCAGATCGGCTCGCACCGTTATCAGTAGCGACCAATGAGCGGCCGAGCGCCTGGTGGATGACCACACATGTTCCACTTCAATCGTAACGCCCACTTAGGTGCACGGGGGCGGTTCTCCGCGGCATTTGAGCGGCTCACTCTGGTCTTATCAGGCATGCATTTGAACAGGGCCAGTCAACGGTACCTACCCGAATACCGGGGAAAGGACGCAGGCACCAAGGCCGATAACGGATTGTAAAAATAGCCCCGACTTCGAGAAACCACTTTCATTCACGGACTTTGACATTCACTTGTAAACTATGGACTTAGCACAGAGGTTTGTTCGGCTCAGCTTAACTCTTGGCTCCTCAGTCAATAGATTCTCAGGCCCCTTTCCCCCGGCCCCGCATGTGTCTCACCTGTGTGCCGCCCTACTGCCTACTTGGTGGCAGACATGGGCCCAGTCCGTGTCATCTTGAACCACTTAACTGAGGTGGCCTGACAGAAGTCCTAGGGATCGTATATCAGTGGACTGCTGAGGTGATCTCTCAAAATGGGTCGTATCTCGGCGGGCCAACACGCTGAGGGAACCTATAACAGACAGAGGTCACATCTTGGTGAACTGTTGAGGTGACCTGTCAGTCGGGCAAGTCGGGGGGGGGGGGGCATATCTCGGCGGCCTACTGAAGCAGTCAGGACACTGCATCTCAGCGGGCTACTGAAGTAGTCAGAGCATCGCATCTCGACGGGTCGCGTCACTCCAGGACAGGTGGCCTGAATAGGCGGACCACTGCGGCAGTCAGGGCACCGTATCTCACTGCCCACTCTGAGCTCGCGAACCACCGTATCTCGGCCGTTCGCTCCGGAAGAGGTGGCGCACGGCAGCGGGCGGATAATTTCGTCCGGCGCGCGGCGGACGAGCGGATTGCGTGTGTCGCCGGCCGGAGGGAGCGTCTCATTAGATAATGAGCCGGTCGACACGGCGCAGCGTGCGCTGGGCGGCCGCCGGAGATCGCCGCCCCATCTCGCTGCCCTATCACTGCGGCGCCGCCGGCCGGGCGGCACGTGCCCGTCGCGTGAGCCGCACCGACGCTGCGTGTGCCGCCGTGACAGAGATAAGGTGGGGCCGCCGCCGGCGTATCTCCCCTCTGTGACGCTCTCTACCGCTCTCTCTCTCTCCACCACTCTCCCTCTCTCTTATTGATTTCACTTTTTGCTTTTAACAAGACAGGAAAACTGGCAACGCATAATTTATTACGTTTGTATTCTATTTCATTTTTACATAAGCTGTTAGTGGGGTTTACCTGTGGCTGACAATGTCAAAAAGCGCATGAACTACATGCAGCTGCTTTGACCCCACCTGTATCAACCTTAGACTTTTTACCATTTTTTATTCTGCAATCACGAGGAAGATGTCTCGTATCTTACCGTTAGCATGCCTGCTATCGGGCGCGAGAGTAGACCACCGTGCTAGTTGACAATTAGCCGGCGGGTTTTTGAGCGTCGCCCATGGCCGGCGCGGCCCCATTTGGTGGCCAGCGTCACCCTATCGGGCTGCGATCGGCGGCCGTTGCGTGCCGTGGCCGGTGCGGCAGTTTTTCGCTGGCAGCTCGCTGAACACATCGATAGGTGGCCGGAGCAGCCGTACCGGACATGACAGCAGCCGGAGTCGGAGCGGGCCGGAGCCGGGACCGGACCGCTACTCGAAGGCCGAGAGGTGCGACGCGCCGCTCCCGACGGTCGGACAAGCCGGAGGATCTGCCAGTGATCGCTACCAGGGAACTCAGGATAGCGTTGGATGTTTGGAAACTTGGTACTTACTTCTTGATGGAAGCCACCAGGAAATGCGAAATTTGGTCCTCCCGTTAGCGATACAGATGAGTGATATGTATATTATGGGAAGCAGGCGCATGGTATAAAGAAGGGGGTGGCAGAAAATGATAACGATCCACAAACCATCTTTCGTGTGGTCGCTCCGGTCAGAGCTGCCAGTTTCAATTGCTGATCCGAAGTCTTCATCCTCAGAAGTTTTATTAAACTTTTGATTCCACGATTATACATACGTAGTTTATGCTCGTATCCTACCACTAATGACAAGACGACAGTGAAAGAAACATGGAGGAAACAGGGGCGGATCCAGCCGATCCGTTTGGGGAGGGCAAAAGTTTCCGACCTATCCGACGACCCCTATCCTCCCCCGCACTGGGAGGAATGTAAGATAAATTTTGGATGGGGATGCAAAATTTTCCCAAGGGGCCCCACTAAAGGTTTTGGGCCCCTTTACTTTTTCAAGCTGTCAATCATCGATTTATAAAAACCAAAAGTTAAGGAAACAATCCATACAGGAAGTTATCCAAAATGTTTGCATATTTCAGTGAACCTCACAAAATCACAGCTTATACCTAAATAAGTGAAATGCGACAAGTTTTTTTTTACTGGGTGATTTTTCTTATGCTAACCACCACCCGCAAGCCTCAAACCACTTTTCTGGATCCGCAGTGGACCTTTGAGAGCCCTACGGGTCCGCTCTTACTTTAGACCGTTAAAAAAACCTTTGGAAACTGAATGACTCAATGGAGGCTCCTCCAGAGACCTTCACGACTTCTCAGATTGAATGAGCCCCCGACCAGGGTCGGTTCCTCAGAAGGTGCTGAAGGGTTTCAGAAAGCAGCGTAGGCTCGAGAGTCTTTAAAGTTCTTCATAGGGTTCTTCATAGGCCAGCGTGGGCCCTTGGAGCCTTCGTTACAGGACTCTCAGAGGTCAGCATGACCCCTGCAGTCTGCCTGCATTGAGGCCCGATCAGAGGCCGTCGAGGGGCCCTCAGACGCCAGCGTGGGCATTTGAAGCTTGCGTTGGGTCCTAGAGGTCGTCGTGAGGGCCCATAGATGATAGAGGTCGTCGTGAGGGCCCTCGTGAGGCCCCCGTCGTGAGGCCGTCGTGGGCCGTCTAAAGCCCGATGGGCACTCAGACCTGAGATAGGCCTAGGACCGTGTCACGAGGGCCCTCAGAGACCGCCGTGGGGGCCCTCAGAGGCAGCGTAACCCCTGGAGTCTCCTTGGGGTCCTCAGATGCCGCCATGGGGCACCAAACGCGGTTCGGGACACTCCTAGCCGGTGAGGGCCCCAAAGACCAGCATAGGGCGCTCCTGACCAACAACTGGACGTCTGATGATCGGTGATCCCACATGATCGTTCGTTTCCCAATCACTGGTCTTTAGGAGAAAATGTATTTGGTGGTGTGACAGGCCTCTTATAAGGCTTTTGGGGGGTGCAAAAAGCTATGTTTGCACTCCAATGTTTTCCATGGCTCTGGAGCTAAAACCCCTGCACCCTTTATCCGGATTTCCGCTGCCCTTGAGCACCGAGATGACCAAGCGACTTTACAACGCCACACTATCTACATGCAATCAGTTCAGGGAGTTCGACCTATTAACAGCATTCTGGCATAAATCATCAGCAGCGAACGTCCAGCTCCTTCCTTCGGAATGGCCGTCACCGAAAGTCCTGCTTTTCGTCCAGATAGCCCTCGACGCCGTATTCAATTTTATCATCTCTACATACTTTGGGAGGGGCAAAAGAACAGTCTTGCCCACATGATTTAGCTTTGGAGAGGGCAAATGCCCATTTTGCCCTCCCCTGGATCCGCCACTGGGAGGAAAAGTAACAATAATTGCACAATTACGCGGCAGAATTCGTAAAGGAACTTAGAACGTGTTCAGTTCGCCCGTCACTGCTGTCCCACTAACCAAATACATGTCTGGCGTGTACTGCGACCACCGCCACTAACCACAGACCATTCCCGACAGGAGCGCAGAATGGATCGAACAAAGCTGTAGCCAACTCACAGTCATTGAAGCTCGAATCAGTTTGGACGGGCCCAGGAATGGAACGAACCGTGCTTCTCTTTGAATTTTCGGACCGAGCTCAGAGGGGGAAATTATTACGAGCGAACACGAAGCGAATCTATTCAAATTTCAATGAAAAAATATTAGTATTGGCAGCACGGCCCAGCCCTTGAGATTAAGAAGTGTCTAAAGCACAGTTACTCTCATTACAACTCGCCATTGGTAACTCATTTTCAGAGGGACCGTTGAGTCAGCCCATGGCTCCGTTACTATCCGTATCAGCCTCCTGGGGTTTCCCGTCACTATCGTCCGTAATAGGCGCCTTGGCCCGGTCCGCTCGCCACCGACCGCTGATGTATTGAAACGCACCAGATCACAATTAATCACACCAAACAGTCTCACGACTCGGGAGCAGCGTTAATCAGCGCTATGCCTGGTTCACATGTTGCTCATTACGGCAGTTTTTGTTTCGGCTCCCAACGCAGCTCGTATTCGACTCGCTGTGTGATGATACTTTAGTGAGGCTAATAGTTGACGCGCTGTCAGTCCCGAACCTCCTTCCATCTCCTGATGCGGCCACTCATATCAAACTTCATCAATCAGAGGGGAAATGACAGTGGCAGTGGGACTCTTCACGAGCCAGTGGTAACGCACGTAAATGAGCAGGTGCGACAGTTTTTGAGGACTTGGCTGACTGATCCTGCCAACGACAATAGTAACCCTACTGGTCCCGTAATGATCCTCCTGGTCCCGTAAGGTTCCTCCTGATCTCCCGAGGAAGCTCGCTCCTGGTTCCTAGAGGACCCTCTCTGCTCTCACACTGCTGCAGCGGAAGGTTAGACTGTTCACGGTCAGCCGGGACGCGGCGTCTCACCTCCCCCAGAGCATTTCCGGCGGCGACCGGAAGTCGGTCGACCCGCGGGTCAGCTGGGCGGCCGTCTCAGGAGCCACGTCTGCCGGGGAGGGGGCGGCCAGATGGTCCCATTACCTGGCCGAGGTGGGCCGTAATGGATTTAATAACGTCCTGGCCCGGTGTCCTCTCGCGCCTGGGAGTGGTCGGGGCGAGCAGAACGGACACTCGCCGAACACCAGATGTGATGGGAGAGGGGGGGGGGGCAGCAGAGACGAAAACAGCCCCTGCTCCAGAGAACAGCCGCCAGCGACGGAGGCAACGGCGAAATGGACATAATACATCGTGTAAATGGGAGAGGAAAGAGAGTGGAAAGCTGCGAATAATTGAGGAAGTGGCAAAACGAGCCGTAAAGAAACCACAACGAGGCAAGTCCATTCAGATGAAATGCTGGGATGAAATAAAAAGCAATGAGGAAAAGGAGAATACTGAGAAAAAGGATGTGGGAGAGAGAGAGAGAGCGAGCGAGCGAGCGAGCGAGCGAGCGAGAGAGAGAGAAAGAGAGAGAGAGAGAGAGAGAGAGAGAGAGAGAGAGAGAGAGAGAGAGAGAGAGAGAGAGAGAGAGAGAGATGCGAGGAAGAGAAGAACCCGTTCTACTAGTCATAAACAGTGGACATACCAGATAGCAAGATAGTCGTTTTTCGTATCGTTTTTCTAGCGAGCACTGCGGCTCAGATAGAGAGCGATGGTCTTGTCAGCGTGAAAAGTCCGCTCAAAAGGAGTCCAGCGGGTTTTTGAGCGGTGTCACTGGCTGAGGACAGGCGGGTCAGAGAGCGGCCCTGACCAGGTCATCCCGACGGGCCCGGCCGAGACGAGAGAGCCAGAGAGGTCGGTCGG